TTACTGCAAGTGAAAAAGCAGTCATGGACAAGATGTAAACATGAAGACACTGTATTCTGATAAAATACAATATACAACTGGCAAGAGACCCGATGCAGATGTCAGACCACTGCTGGCCAACTCCTATGCTTAATCAAAGAAGCCAGATACAAAATGTTACATTAAATTATTCTATTTATACAGTAATATGAAAAAGGTAACTACACAAAACAAGTTAGTGGTTGCTATGAGATTGAGTATTGACTATAAAGAAGCACGGAATAACCTTTTGGAGTGGTAGAAATATTCTACATCTTGATTGATCATTTCTCTATTTCTATTTATATATATAGATAAATTTATATACAGGCTGAGCATTCCTAGTACAGTAATTAGAAATTCCCAATGTTCCAAAATATGATGGTTTTTTTTTTTTTTTTTTTTTTTTTTTTTTTGAGAGAGGGTTTTGCTATGCAGCCTTCACCTCAGGCCAACCCTCCTGCATTAGCCTCTTCAGTGCTGGGATTACAGGTATGTATCACCAAAACCAGCTGAAAGTTTTTTGAGTGCCAACATGATGCCACCATACAAAAATTATTCTGTATCATGAAACTGGCTGACATATAAAATTATTTAAGATATTTATAAAATTGCTTTTAGCCTATGTACACAAGATATACATGAGACAAATGAAAAAAAAAATCTTGTGTTTAGATTTGGATTCCATCCTCAAGATACTTAACTATGTAAATATTCCAAAACCCAAAATATCCTAAATCCAAAAGACTTCTAGTCCTAGGCATTTGTGACAACATATTTAAAATCTGTACCTGAATACATAAGAGATGCAAATTTTACTCCATATGTCTCAATATGGGTGTGATGGTGCATGCTTGTAATGACCGAAGCAGGAGGATCACAAATTCAAACCCAGTTTAGGCCACTCTTAGCAATTTTGTGAGATCCTGTCTCAAAAAAAAAGGCTGTGGGCATAGCTTAGTGAAGGCTCTGTGTTCAATTCTCAGTACCACAAATAAAATAAAAGACCTATTTTAAAAAAGGAAAAAAAATTTTTTAAAGTGTTTTTTGGTGCTTGATTCAAATAAATCCCCATCCCCCAAAGAAGCATTTTTTTGAGTGAATCAAATGTCAAGGAAATATAAAACTATGGGGTGATACTAAGAAGTTATTGTTTAGGGCGCTGGGAATGAAGTTCAGTGTTATAGCACATGCGCAGCATGCCTGAGGCTAAGGTTTAAGCCCTACTACTGGGGAAAAAAAATTATGTTTTACATGTGACAATAGTACTGAGGTTTGCTTTTTTTTTCTTTTTTCTGTATTTAGGACAGGGTCTACAGGATCTATAGGGCCTCCCTATGTAGACTGGACTTGTAGTGATTCTCCTGTTTTCAGCTTCCCAAGCACTGGGATTACAGTCATGTGCTACCACGCCCAGTCTCAAATGCCTGTCTCAGTGTGCCCCTCAGGCAAGGCTGACATGGCACACCGAATCCCCGCCACTGCACCCTGCCTAAACAGGTGCTTCAGTCCACTAAGATATCAGACCAGTCCTAGGTTTGCTTTTTTAAAGAAAAAAAGAGCCTCAGATGCATATTGATATAGATAAAATCATATTATCTTTGAGAGTTACTTTAGAGCAGTTCAGTTGAAAAAGAGTAAACTAATAATTGTTCAAGATGTGTGGTAAGTAAATGGAATTTGATTATAATATTCTGGCTATTTTTATATATACCTATAAGAGTTAAATTGAAGGGGTTTTAATAAGAAGGGCCACAGATATAGCTCAGCAGCAAGCATCTGCCTGGCAAGCACAAAGTCCAGAGTTCAATTCCAGGTACCAAAAAAAAAAAAAGAAAAGAAAAAAATGTGTATGAGGAAGAAATGAAAACTACAAAATAGATTTTGCACTTAACTGTTTGTAGAGTCAATCAGGGAGAATAATGAGATAAGTTAGTGATAAAGCTGAGGTGAAATGCAATCATGTCAAATTTTTGAAGATAGAAAATCTAAATATATGTTCTGACAATTTCTTTCCTATGCTTACATACAAGTGTATGTATCTTTACAAATAATAATACACAGCATGAAAGAAAAGATTCAGTGTAAAATGAGCTATTTCCTAAAACCTAAAAATGAGACATATTTTATTCATAGCCAAACAAAAACATAATAAAGATACTATATTATTGGCTTCTGGGCAAGTTACTAACATTATAACCAAACAACTTCTAATTTTACATTTGTCCTTAGTTGTTCAAAATATACATAATTTAGATGAAAAAAATGTAAGCCAGAAAGTGACAGAAAACATTTAATAATAATATAGCAGAGGGCCGGGGAGATGGCTCAGTGGAATAAGCGCTTCCCTGGCAAGTACAAGAGCCTGAGTTCAATCCCCAGTCCTGCCAAAAAATTAAATAAATAAATAAAAATAAAATAAATAATAATAATAATTACAGCAGAAAACAAAGGTAACCATGTCAGGATAATAATCTATTTTACTAAAGTAGACTGCTAATAAAGACTCTGAACATAAGTAATGAGCTCTGGAAATGTGTGTGTGTATAATGTACACATAGTACACATATACATACACATATAGATCTCTATATCAATCTATATGTCTTATGTAAATATATTAGAGATCTACACATACAAACAGTGTGTTGGTGTGGGTGTGTTTATTTTAAAAATGGGGTCTCGTTATATTGCTCAGGCTGGTTTCTAGCTCCTAGAATAAGCAATCTTTCTACCTCCACCTCCTGTGGCTATAGGCATGTACCACTGTGCCTGTCTAGAAATATTTTTAATATAATATTATTAGAACTTTCTTAATCTTATAATAGTTTAGATGGAAATACTATCTAATAATAAAGTCAGAAATTAACTATACCCATGGTTTTCTTCATAATATTGTAGAACACACCACCCTGCTGAAACATGTGAGGAAGTCCCTTGGCATAAGACCACACATCTTCTCCTGTAAGACAAAAACAGACACAGTGTAAGAAATAAAGAGTTTGCTCCCAGAGTTGCTTTAACAACAAACAAAACAGAAACCTAGGGTTGCTTTAATATGGTTAGCCTGGAACAGACTGAAAGAGATTCTAGATGAGTGAAACAGCCAGGTAATATATAGAGATGATACAATAACAGGACTGTGAGACACAAGAAAATAGATGGGACTATTTAAAGATGACACCATGGGGGCCAGGGAGATGGCTCAGTGGAATAGGCACTTCCCTGGTAAGCACAAGGGCCTGAGTTCAATCCCCGATTCCACCAAAAAAAAGATGACACTTACTGCCAAATGCTGTTGTAGAAGTGTACACACCCAGTATTTCAAAGCCATAGAGAAGAGAAATCCAAATATTCAATATGAATTCTATCAAGTTGTAAATGCAGACTCTAATTCAAAAACGTCTATAAATTTGTACAAGTCACTGCTATACATTAAACAAAATAGATTTGAAGACTTAAACCAACTTCAAAGACTAGCTTGTAAATTCTGCACTAGAATTTTTAAAAGGCCGTAGAAAGATTTGTACTTTTAAGATAGAATATATAGTTGCATGTTTATGTTAAAGCCAAGTAAATTAATAGTCTAGGGGAAAAATAGGCAGATTGAACAAAAGAAATTGGATTCTGTTTTTCTGAAGTTGACTTTCTCAAAATAAGAGATTAAGGGAAAAAAGATTCAAAGAAATTTAGAATAACATTTATTTATTTATTTATTTATTTATTTA